AGAGAACTGAATTCTGCAAGTTGTTCTCGGGCTGGAGAGATGGCTTAGCGGTTAATAACGCTGGCTGTCCTTGCAGAAGACCCAGATTCAAATCCCAGCACCCACACGACAGCTAACAACTGTTCTAACTCCAATTCCAGGGGATTCAAAGGCCTCTTCTGTCCTCCGCCGGCAATGCACAACACGGGTGCACTTATATACATGCAAACAATACATGCATACACATAAACTAAACTTAAAAAAAACAAACAAACCTGGTGAACTTCACCTTGAACTTCACCTTGACATCTAAATTTGACTTCTAGAGTCACCTATACATTGTCCATCCCCAAACCTCCTCTAACAGGCAGGAGGGCACCCCTCTCACCCCCTCTCACAAAGTTCAGGAAACTGAGGTAGGTCACTCTCCTACCTGAAGAACTAAGGCAGAGATCTGGGCAGCCCAGAGCTCTGCAAAGTTTGTTAAAGCAGATTTTAAGTTTTACCAGGCACGAACTCCTAGAACTCCTAGGGAGCTTTAATAGTGCTTTGGTTACAGGGAACTTGGAGACTTGTAAAGATCTTACTTTGCTTCCTGCAGCCGCAGTTCCTTTTTGGGCTGGTGGCCCCGGGATTTCCTCAGACCGGGTCTGCGCAGTGCGGATCCTAGGCGGTCCCCTACCTGCTGCCTCCAGCCCAGCAGACCGGCGCCCTCTGGTGGCCACGCGCTGCAGTCACCGCTCCTTACGCAAGCATTTGTTGGAAACCGCCGAGATCTGGTGGGCTCACATTCTTCCTAGAAAAACCAGCGATGCGCATGCACAAGTTCCAATTAGGCCTTTGATGGACAGAGAGCAGCTGCCTTTTTGTTTACTCTGCCTCTAGCCATCCGTATAGGACCTTAGCCGCTCCGGTCAGTCCCTCTACCTGTCCTCTCCAGGATTCAGAGGCTGGTGACTCAGGTATAGTCCTTCATTCAACACACACTGTGTGCCCAGTAGCGAGCTGTTTCTAGCACCCGCTCCCTGCTTCCCACGCATTGGAAGACAAGCGTGTCACGTGCTTGGACTGAGGAGCCGTAGGGTAGGGTAGCATTCTAGTTTTACTGTGGGACTGCATCCCTAAGAATGGACGATGGTCCTGCCTACCAGAAACGAGAGAACACGTTTTCTCTGCAGAATAGTCTCTGATTTTTCTTCTTTAACGTTATTCCAGAGCCCAGACACTAAACTCCAGCACCTGTTTCAATAATTAAGCTGGTACCATAGGACACACGGCAGTCTAGCAAGCAAAGGGCTGGACCAGTATCTTAGTATGTTTCTTGGTTCTTGTTACAATTAACACTGCTAGTTAAAGCATTACATTTCCTCCTAAGTGTCTTAAAAGGGAAAGCCTTACTTAAAGGTAGTAGTTTAATTAAGCAAGTCAGGCAGCCCCCAAACCAGAGCAGGTTCTAAGAACCCATTCCTCAATGTAGCTAGGCCACACTTGTGGGCAGAAGATGAAGGGAGGTCCAGCATCAGCTCAGCTGGTTCTAACTTGAATCAGCAAGTGATTAACTGCAGCTCAGCTGCTGTGATTGGTCAGGTTCAGCTGTCTTGTGCTCCCAGGTGGGCTCTCTTTTGTTTACCTGATGTTAGACTGCTGCTTCTTAAGAAAGGGCTTGAGCATGGAGGGCTCCTCTGGACAAACTTAGTTAAGTTTGACAAGCGATGGATGTCTGGTGTAACTTTTGCTCTAACCTGACCCTGAGGTGTAAACTACAGAGCGATCCTCAAGGATAAGAATATCAGGGTCCTGGCAGGGCAAGGTATTCTGAAGACTGTTGTGTCCCTCCCTTTGGCTATCAGATTATTGAAACAATGGCCCCTAAGTAATTGGAATGTCCGTAGGAATCTCATGTTCCGGGACAGGCATGAGATTCTTCAGACCCGGGCTGCACAGTGCAGATCCTAGGCAGTCCCTCACCTGCGGCTAGCCAGAGGAGGAACTTGTCTCTGGGGATGAGATTTCACAAAGTCCTAACCACTTATCAGACCGCCTTGGCTGAGCACAGACTGCAGTTCAGACAATGAGTCTGCCTTGACCAGGATTTTATTCAAACCTAAATCTCCCGTCAGGATCTGAAGATGGACTGGGGGTCAGGGAATGGCACTAGACCTCTTTATTTGTCCCTGTTTCCAGTGTGGCCACACTGAATAAATCTCCTCTCCCTGTTTTTCACTATTACTTGTCTATTTAACTGGTATCTTGTGAACAGGTGGCTGAGTCCAGCTTGTTAGGACTACTAGGGCCCAAGACTGTACTCTTAAAAACTCTAGTCACAAGAGTCACTGGCCGGGTGTGGTGGTACATGCCTTTGTTCCAGTACTTGGGAGGCATAGGCACAGGCAGGCAGATGTCTGTGAGTTCAAGGCCAGCCAGCATAGTAAGACCCTGTCTCAAAAAAAAAAAAAAATTAAAAATAGAGGCCATGTAGTAAAGGCAGAATCGAAGGTTCCATAATATTCAAAGGATGGGTAGGGTAGAGAAATAAGGATGCTGACACGGAGCAGCTATGAAGCAGGGTAAGGCAAAGAGGTGAGAGGAAATTTGTGGAGAGGGATCAGATGGTAGTAAGGAGGCAACACTGCCCAATACTGAGAAGGTCATGGGGTTAGAAGGTAGGAGATCATTACGGATTCAGCAACCAGAACATTGTTTCTATTGGTGCATTGGTGGCAATCAGGGAGCAGCGGGCTGGGTGATACAGTTCCTAAGGAAGAAGAGACACAAACTTTTCAAGACGTTTGTTGTGAAAAGCAGGAGTGAGGATCTAGATGAGGAAACTTGGGGTTGCCACAAGATACTCGTTGATGAATCTTTCTTCGAGGGCAAAAACGATAAGCAACTCTAGTTTTCACGAACAAGGACTATTTTGGAAGCATCCCATGTGGCTTACTGCAAAAGCCTCCAGTCTAAGATTCTTTCCAGGGAACAATGCCTCGGCGGCTCTGGAGTCTTTCTAGATCAACGTAATTCGGAAACTGATCTGACACATATATAAAAACATCTATCTCAATAGGCTGTAAAAAATGTTCTGGGCTCCAGATGAGTCAGCCGAGTGGAAATAACTAGTGTTGGGATGTTTTCTAGGACCAAGGCTTCAAAAAGCTGCTTTCACTGCTATCCGTCTAATGGGAGATTTCCAACTTTTTATTTTATGGGGGAGGATTATTTATCAAAATGGAAATTGATAATGATAAGGACAGCAAGATTCAGAAATTTTTACATAGAGCATAATTACCAAAAGAAAAGAGATTAAACATTTAGCTCTTTCTTTTCAGCAGCTGACATGTCATCCAGACTGAGGAAGACCCAGAAACTTCAGGGCCACGAGCCACCATTATGGCTGCATTGGTAAGCACTAGAAATATCCAGGCTGCTGGGGTCATGTTGGGGGCCTGCACCATTTCAGGACTGATTCTGACATTTGACAAATCTCCAAGTTATTTTGGGAAAAGTTGGTAAAGGCATTATTACCACTTATAGAAGAATAAGAGCTTTTGCCTTAGCTGTCAAGCTTGATGAATTGTAGATGCTGGCCTGCAAGCATACACAAGTAACTGGTAGTCAAAGCAAGGACTAGAGGCCTTCACCCTGGACTGGGTGCCCCTAGACTTCTCTGAAATTGTAGTGAGGGAAGGAAAGCCCTGAAGGGGTCTGCACGCAGAAGAGCGATTCCTTAGCAGAACTGATGAGAAGGCTGAGGGTCTTGGGGGCACACAGAGGGAGTAAATGCCTTGCGGAGTTTTGGAAAGCACCTGTCTATAATGTGATATTGAAACTCTTTAAATGAGTTAAAATTCTAAATTCAATCCCTATTAGAACTTTGTTTGTGAAGTCAAGTTCATAATAAAGCTGTAAACAAACAAAAACAAAACCCAATCTACCACAGTGTACTTTAATGAAATCTACCAATGGACTTAAAATATCTGACCAAAATTTAGAACGTACCCAGTGTGGTGGTATGGGATTAAAGTGCCTTTAATCCCAGCACTTGGGAGGCAGAGGCTGGAAGATCTTTGTGAGACTGAGGCCACCGTGTTCTACATAGAGAGTTCTAGGCTAGCTGTGGCTACAGGGAGACCTTGTCTCAAAAACAAAACAAAATTTTGAACATGTGTAACTTTAATCCAGCTATTCTGCTCACTAAGTGATATGGGTGTTCCGAACAGCTTTAAAAAATAAGCAAAAGTACCTGCATAGTAGACCACTATCTAACCTGAAAGAGAAAGGAGGGGCGTCAACACAGGAAGATTTCCAGAATGCTGAAAACAGATTTTTGTCAAGCTGGCTAACTTCTAGAATACCCCACTGAATTCATTTTCTTTCTTAGTGGAAGACCTGAGTTCATTCAGCTGTATGATATTGGTTGAGTCAACCACTTATATGGCCCCCGATACTTCATTTGAAAATGATAAGCTTAGAGATGACTTCCAAAAATCTGTTTGTTCAAAGATGCCATGCTTATGACTCACAGATGCATATTTGAAAAAAATACAATAAACTGGCAAAGAGACTCCAAGTACATGCCAGTGTGTTTGGTTATATCAGAATATCTAGGCTGGGCTGAATTCGGATCTCCGAATTCATGTAAAACTGGAGGCTGTAAGTGCGGGTCTGTAATCCCACAGCTCCTCTGGTGAGATGGGAGGTATGGCCGGGAGCCTCACTGGAAGGTCACAGGGCAGATAGCCTGGTATAGGTAGCAGGGAACAGCAAGACACCCTGTTTCAAACAAGGTGGAAGGCAAGGACCTATGCCCAAGATTTCCCTGTGATCCCCCCCCAACATGTGCACCAGGCCATATGCATATTTACACTAAACACATATGAACACACACAGATATTACACACTAAGAACATTAAAATCATTAAAAAGGAACCATTTCCACAAAATATTGTACTCTTTAACCAGACTTTTAAATTTCCCTCTCATTTTAATTCCATCTCTAAAGAACCCAAGGAACAGCGAAAGAAACGGGTTCAACTGAAGAAATTTATTTACTTTTTTCCCCTAGGTACATAGATGACATAATTATAGACAAGTTTTGATACATAGGAAAACCCTTCTGTCCACCTTTCTTTTTTCTAAATGGATCATCACAAATAATTTTTACAATTTTTAAAACAATACATAGCTTTCTTGGGATGAAGCAATTGCAAGAACATATTGGTACTGGTATATTACAGCTACTTACAATGTTTAAGAACAGCAATGGAGAAAAATAAGTTATTTAAATATTGATTTCATATACAGAAAGTGCAATGTTGTTAGTTGTTATATAACTTGCTTGACTGTTTTCTCTATCAATTAAAAATCAAGATAACTTGGACTCAGACAGTTTTACTTTTTGGAACATAATGCAGTCCATACATGCAGCAGTGACTTGGGACTGTACATCTCTCTCGCTGCAGTTAGGAAAGGAAATTTGCTGTGTTGGGGATTTAATGGAGGAATCATATCAATTTCATCCACACCTGGGTTCAGGACAGAGAAAAGGGCCTCCGATAAGGCAAGGCCAGGAAAAGCTATTTGCTCTTGCTATCCGGGAATGTAAATAGTAGTTTGGGCAGCTGCATTCTTTGCAGACAGCTGTGACGTTTAAAAAAAAAAAAAAAAAAATCACACAGGCTCTGTGAAGCTACCTGAGCTGAACTGCCTTTCCAGGTTTCTTTTGTGCTTTCCAAAGACAACAATTTTCACCGTCACTCAAAATTCTGTACCAAATGCAACTGACAACTGATCAAAACTGGATCTTGCTAAAGCCTACCATCTGTCCACTAACAGCCACGGGCAACCCCAAGCCACCTCAGTCAAATGCCACACACCAACATTCAGGCTTTTTCTCAGACCAAATTAAAAGTTTAAAGCAAAAGAAGACCAAACAAACACTAAAGATATAAAAATCAAAAATTAAAAACCTAATAAAGTAAAAACGACCTCAGCCCCCTCAGATCAGACATTCACACTAAAATCATGGTCCCTGAATTTAATTTTCCATGCAAAGGCAATGATTTCCAGAGTGATAAAGATATCGTTTGGCATTCTCAAAAGCTCTGGCGCTAGTTTTATTGAAAAGAAAACCCTCCATTGAGGATGAAGTCAAATTTGGAAATTCACAGGGATTTCTCCTTCCCCTTTGCCACCTCTAACGTGACTTTTGTGCGGTCGCTCTGCTCAGTTCGAACCGTGAGCACACTGTTGCAATGTCAAGCCGAGGTTATTTCTAAAGACCAAGGAGAACCTACCATCGCCACAGCACAGGAAATGGCTAAGATGCTCTAGTAGGCTAGGACCCTGCAGCCCCACCCTTCAGGTGGGTTATACCACAACCCAGGAGGACAAAAATGAGCTCCTTTTAAGAGTCCAATAAGGATCTTGGCTTTACCTTTTTATTCTCGATCTCCCCACCTTCTTCACATGGCGTCTTATAGAAGGTGAATGGAACTGAAGAAACGTAACATTATTTTTAAAAATGCATACCAAAGCATGAAACAAAAATACATCACCTGAGAACATTCTTTTCCTCAGAGACATAGATCCAGAGATATTATGCACATAGTCAAGATGGCTTTGTAATCAAAACTGCATTTTAATAACTACATGATATTTTGGAGAACTTTTGATCCAGGTCTTGTGTTCAAAGTGCATCTGTTACACAGGATCACATTTGATGCTTCAAACAGTATTTGCAAGAAGGTGAAGGAAAAATCATTTTGTAAGTGATGGAGACCTTTATAGCTGTCTACATTTGCTGTTTGCTAGAGAACTAGACAAAAAATGGATAGACTGTGCTGAAATCCCAGTTGGAAAACAATAGAAAATATGCACTATTTAACACATGACTAATGTGGCTTGTGTGGCTCCCTAATGAATCTCTGTTTGAATTAAAAGAATTATCTAAATGATAAATGATGGATAATAATTATAGAACGTGCAAAAAAATCTCAAACAAACAGCTTGTAAACTACTTCTCTTTTTAGAAAAAAAATCTTTCTGAAATATGAAACCTTACAATGACTTTCTGCAAAGGTGATCCGTTAGGTGATGACTGGATTTTGGAATGGATGTGGTCAGGATTCCAAGTCCATACTCTACACAGTGGCTGACAGAGAACAACACTAAACAGAGTAAAATAAACTGTAGTCGCTACCCATGCACCCACCCACATGACCCTTTGTGAAATTCGGATCAGGTTTACTGAATTTGTAGTTAGTTTAAGAACTGAAAGCCACCCTGAAACGTGCGCCTGAAGACACCCCTATAAAGCAAGCCATGTTAGAAGGAGACCATTAGAAAGCCCATTTTTGCTGGAAACATCCCAGATACGTTAGATGGCAGTCTAAGCTGAACAACTGGAATTAGGGTTAAGGGTTGTGGACGCTAGATACATAACTGCTTAGACGTTCATATTAAGGCGAATAAAAGCTGATTGCTAGAAAGCAATGAAAATGTCTCTTGTTTCCTAAAGGAGAGTAGGACTTCTTTGTTTCTCTTGCTGTAGCTAGACGTTCTAACTTCTGAACAAATGAGCACAGTCAATAGTGTACAGTAACTCTTGAGTCTGTTGCTTTGGCCTAGCTAAGCCTGTCTGGCTCAGGCATCCAGGAGGGTGACCAACAGATGGACAAGGGCCCAATCAGAAACAGAACACGCTGCCTCGGTGCCTTGCCCACTCCTTCTAGCCCTCTGCTAGCACAAAGACAGACCAGAGACACGGTGTCTACAGTTAGTTGGCTTCTTGGCTCTTCTGTGTCTGAAAACAGAACAGAGATCAAAGAGAACCACACCGATTTCCTCAAGGGAGCTTTTCTGGAGGAGCGGGTCCTCACTCTGTGTCCTAATCCTGTGTTCAATGAGCCCCACATGGGGGCTTTTCTTCTGGATCTGGTCAACCCACCAGAGATGAAGGAATTGCATCAGCTTCATAAGCACAGTGAAAGGCTGGCTCTTGTCCAGGGAGGTCTATCCCAGGCCTGGCTACATGGCCTCAGGGCTTGGTGGCAGTTTGAAGAGTCTGGCTGCGGATATGAGTTTCCTTATGTGTCGCTCCTCTGTAATGCCGGCCTCCTGAAGGCAAGTGTGGGACAGAGAAGGCACTTGGCTCAGCGTGCTGAACCCTGCATCAGAAAGGTTGCTGGTATACATGGGCAGGCCAATAGAGATGAGCCAATCCGACACAGATGCAACACATCCAGGAGAGAGGGGCTTTCTGCAGATTTCCGTGAGCCCACCACTTGGGATCTGGATAAATAAGGAAAGAGGTATCATGAAGATTGCACAGGTACCACGGAGGAATACTTTTTGCTAACTCACAGGAATGTTACTGAAATATATCACTGGTAATTATCAGAAAATGATAACGCCAAGGGATGCCAAAAATCAATGTTAAGAATTTTTCTAAAAAAAATAAAACATCTTCAAGAGATTTTTCTAGAAGATTCTAGAAGGAATCTGAAATTAGACCAAACCCTAGTTATGCGTCCAAGTCTCCAAGCTGTAAGCATTTGCATCTACTCTGTTACTTCATCTCACTATATGCTTGGTTCTTAGATGAGAGCTCTCTTAACTATCAGACAGAGATAAACCTGTCTGATATTCTAGAAAGGGTAGGATTTTTATGAAGTATATTTTCCACTATATTTTAATTTATATTAACAACCAGAAAATTAAATATTTAAATTAATATAGTTATAAACAATTTAAAATACAATAATATCAGGAGTTAAGTAGGACAAAGAAATGGACATTAAAGCCTGACCACTAGGTACATAAAGGACTATGACTTTCCAGAAAGAGAAACATGAAAAATCCTTAAAACTTTGTACAAGTATATGTGTAGAGGCCAGAGGTCAACCTGGGGTGTTAGTCCTCAGGAACTGGTCATCTTTTTCTCCTTTTGAAACAGGGTCTCTCATTTTTACTTGGAACTTGCTGATCCTGCTAGGCTGAGCCCCAGGAATCCACCTGTCTTCACGGCCCTAGTACTGGGATGACAAGTGTACCATGATACCCAGCTGTTCTATATGGTTCTGAAGATAAAACTCAAGTCCTCATGCTTTCACAGTAAGCACTTTGCCAATCGAGCCATCTTCCCATCCTGATTTTCTATAATCTCAATGGAGCAAATACCCATCAAAGACTGTATCCTCAGATATTATTTGGAAGTCTACAGACTGTATTACCAAAGATGCTCTTTGCTACATTATTTAAAATAAAAAGCTAGAAAAAATGAGTATTTCAACAATATGTAAATGGAAAAACCACAGACTATTCACTTAATAGAAAACCTTGAAATATTGCTAATAAGAGCATTTGAGTAAAACAGATTCATGATCTGGTAAGTGAAAAAAACTTTCATTTACTATTATACCTGTGTACAGAGATGACTAGTTTTAAAATTGAGAAGTAAAATTTTCATATATTTAGGCCATACTAAATATATAAAATATTTGGATATTTGGATAAATGTACACATTATGTAACGGTTAACTCGAGCTACTTAACATACGGATTACTTCGCATAGCTATTGTGTGTGTGTGTGTGTGTGTGTGTGTGTGTGTGTGTGTGTGTGTGTGTGTGAATGAGGCTGTTTGTTTTTTCTTTTCACAAACA